TCTCTTGTTAGATGTAAAATAATTTCTCTTTTTAATATTAAATGTTTATTGCTATTTCTAATATTTTGTCTACTGTATGCAGAGCCTCAGAGTAATAAAAGTTAAAGTATTTTATAAAATTTATAATACAACAATAATAAAATCGCCTAATCTCTTTATGCTTGTCACTCGTTATGTCTAGTGGCACCACTACACGAGTGTAACCATGTCACAGACACAGAATCTCTGTGTGAGAATCGCTACATCAATATGGCGGAAAGCAGTCCCCCCCGCACGCTTGAGTTACCATCCCCTCTCGCCTAAACTAGGACTTTAGACTCAGGCCGGTATTCATAGTTGTTTCTTATATTTAAGATCGTCTTAAGTCGTCGTCATCGTCATCTTAAGATACTAATATGGCTTTTTGATTGGTTCATAGCATTTTAAGACAATACTTAAGACAATCTTAAATATAAGAACGGACTATGAATACCCGCCTCAGTCCCTCTATTCCTTAGTCCGTGGTGTAAACTAAGCCACATACAGCCCGTAATCCATAATCCGCACCAAAAGTCCGCAAAAGTTACTAGGTATTTCGTCCGTAACGTTACGTGTGTTTTTGGTTGCGTTCCGTTTTGCGCATAGCACGCATCGTTCGCATCGCTAATGCTTAGCGCATTGGCTGCGTTTCGTTTCATTATGCGCATGATACATTCTTTGAAACGGAACGATATTGAACGCATTAGAAGCGGAAAATCAAAATGGATTCCACAATAAATTGCGCTATCAATGTGACAATGTTTTTAATTGATGAAATGAGTGACAGTAATAGTAGTGAATCATTAATGACTCTTCCATTATGACTTTTCCTATTTTGACACTTTTTACAATATCGCTATCAATCGCCATATGCAATTACGCAATCGCATGGAACGCATAAGCTGCTGCAACTCAAACTTGAGGTAGCTGATGCGTGTATTATGCGCTGCAGGTGGTGGGGATCTAGGGAATTCTAAGCGCTGTTCATGCGCGCATTGAGTGAAACGGAACGTTTTCTATGTAATTCGTGCGCATAATGTGCGAAACGGAACGCAACTTTTATCTCCTTGGGCGGTATTCATAGTCCGTTCTTATATTCAAAATCGTCTTAAGCACGGACTTATATTCGCTCTCTTCGTCACACATAGATTGTGTCTGACGAAGAGAGCGAATATAAGTTTGTATTTAAGACGATCTTGAATATAAGAACGGACTATGAATACCGGCCCTTGTGTCCCATAGAGCCGTAAATACAGACGTAACGGTAGTACTATTTTTTATTTAACAAATTATAATTGTTTATTTGTATTTTATTCATAAGAAAACTACAGAATATATTATAATTTTAACAAAAGTTTTAATTAAATCGTCAAATTTAGTTAAATAAATAAAATTAGAAAAAGTATTATTAGTAATAATTAGCAACTTATAGTAACTTTTACGGAAATTTCATGGAATTACGGCTCCATGGGACACAAGGAGATAAAAGGTTTGTTCGCGTCGCATGCTCCTATGTACACCAAGGTAGAGACCCTAAAAAGAGAGACTCACCAACTCGTCACGTGACTGTTAGTGGACTCTGATTGGCTGGTGTATGGATCGCACATTTGTGCCCCGTGTGCACCATAAAGCTACACTGAACTACACTATGAATACCGGCCATAAGCCTTGTGTCCACGATGCTAGAACTCAATCCGAGATCTCGGTCCGAGTCCTCGAACAATAATATTTATACTTGGCTGAATATAGTTAGGGTGCATCCCGACGAAGGAAGAAATAGCGGAACGGAACAGTAGCGGAAAAGAAACTAGATGGAAAGTAGCCAATCAGAATGATTCCGTTTCAATTCCGTTCCGCTTTTTAACCACTGGGTTCCCCATGGCACGGAACTGTTACGGAACGGAAAAATTTCTAACCTATCGACATGAAAAATTCGCGAAGTGTCCGTTTGTTTATTCGTTTTGCAACGTACGTGCATTTTGGAAGCTGTTGGAAGGAAATAAAAAGCAATGTCGTCATCGGTACGTTATTATTGTATAAAAATAAAATATATATATTAAAACACTATGTATGTTTTCACATAAATTCAATTATTTAACATGAAACTCATAAAATAGATTAGGTTAAGTTGTTCTTATAATATATAATAGAAATTTAAAAACAGATACAATTGTATGTAATATAT